TGCGGCTGGAAACTCAGAGGGATTCGGTGGGATTACGTCCATATCAACGCCCATTGGCATAACTTGTGCGGTGAGCATCTTGGCCAACATCCAAGGTGCATGGAAGAGACTTGTCGCCGACGATCATCACTGATGTGTTCACTGGCACTCGATCGTTTTCGAGCGCACACAACCAGCATAGTACCAGGATTTGGTGGGTCGTGTCCGCTCCGACGGCTTAGAATTTGGCACGATAGGACTGCAGCTAGAGGTTGCGATTGCATAAATTAGAATATTTTACTATCAGCGAGCTAGGCTTTTGTGGCCACCTTGTGCCACGAGATGCCAAAGCGAGCGCCGATGTCACAGCCGTCGTTGGTTTGCAGCTCGCGTGTTCGGTTGCGGTAGCGCAGTGCCTTTTGTAGCAGCTGGGCGTTGGTCGTGTCAGCGTCGAGCTGATTGAGCTGTGAGAGCATGCTCTTAAGGACCTTCTCGGTGCGGGCCTTGACGCATTCGTCCGAGTATTTGAGGTGGAGGTGGCGGCGACTGCTGGTTGCGAGTGTGCGAGACGCCATCGTTGATGTATGTGGCTTGTGGGAAACTGGAAAATGAAGATCTGGCAGGGGCACCGGCGCATTGATTCGTACGGCAGGGCAGCGAGAAATCCAACCGAAAAGATCGTGCTGTCGCAGGCCGTTTCCATCGTAACGCAGTATAAACACGCACGGCGGGACGACACGAATGGACTATGGCCAATCACAAGCGTCGCTTTACCATCATCGACCAATCACAAGCGACCAATGGGATCTTTTTCGATCGCGTCGTCCCAAGCGTTGTCGCGTGCCCCTCATGGAGGTGTCGCATGATTCGTACAACGCATCGGCGGCTAAAAATACGTGCTCACGTTAGCCAGAAAGTCTCTGCTTGTGCAGAGATAATGTGGCGATATCAATCTCCAAAAGCCACAGTGATATTCGAGGATTGGGGCGATATTACGGGCTTGCTGCCTTCCAAGCACGCGCGTCCATCCCAACACGACACTCCAAGTCAAGCGTTCGAGTGCAAGAGAGATTGATGTCGAGTGCGGCGGTACTGCAGTAGCATTCTCGTTTTGAACCAGTGCTTTCAAGGCAATCGAGTCGCATTCGAATCCCAGCTGCTGATTTTCACCCCCCAGAAAAGACGTGGTACTTCCAGGCGCAGCAAGGAAGTCGATTTTTTACCGTCCGGATAGACGCGATGAGCCGACAGTAGGCTAGATAGTCATTTGCTTTTAGCCTTGTCGATCCTAATCCGTCACGCCACTCCCAAATGGCTAGCGGTCAATCTATTGCCCCACTCGAGCAGCCACTCGAGCGTCGCACAAGGCGAAAAAATATGTGTAACGTCACGTGCGAGACGACGGTTCGTAGCATCTCGCTCTGGCCCAATCAAACCCGGGTTTGCACAGACACGCACCATAACGCATCCGTTGGGCTGCTCCGTGAGAGGCAACGCACCTGGTGCTACGACCATGTTTTGAGCCTGGTTTTGCGAGCGAGTCATCGTAAAACAATGCCGTTGGATCGGACTTCGTCATGGTGTTGTAATCACAATCGAATAATCAGCATCTCTTGCGCGTTATCGATGTTTATGCCCCTCGCGAGCGTTTTTGAAACTCAAATACAGCGTATGGGCTCCATACTCCGTATTTGAGCTCCATTTATGAATTGTTGACAATTCATAAATGGAGCTCACGTTAGCCATGGACTGCGTGCCGCGAGGTGCTTGCTTCGATCGATTCCAATTGTATGCAGTGCACCTTGGAGTGCCTGTGCCTCAATCACGCGGCGATACAACGTTGCTTCTGGGGAACGAACTCACCAACCAAAACAGCCACCGCAGTGTCGTAATAGTGTCGTAATCCTTGTGCCATCCTTTCGGAAGATATATAATATCAATCCGTTACGAGCTAGGGTACACCAGCGTGCGAGAAATTTCCAACGGAGGAGCTATCAAGGAGGTGGCGCACTCAATTCGGCGAGTTGCTACATTGTAGCTCATACTAGATGCAGTGTACAGAAGGAGCAGCTCACACCCTGGAGAGCGAGCGCAAATACCTCTGCCTAAACACGACGCGAGTGTCTCGTTGAGCGGGTTACCTTTGAGAAGCATGATCCCATTGGCCTTTGAGCGCATTAGCATCGAGAAGCGTGATTCCATTGGCTCTCATTGCGTACTACAAGTTCGTGTATATACTGTGCCACGATATGCAAAGCCTTATTGTGGAGGCACAAAATCCCATTGGCCGATCCGAATTGAGCGATGATGGGAAAAGAGACGCTTGTGATTGGTCATATTCATTTCGTGTCGTCCCGCCATCCGTGTTTATACTTCGTTGCGATGAAAACAAACGGACTGCAACAGCATGATCTTTCCGGTTGGATTTCTCGCCGCCCAATCAATGAGCTGGTGCCCCTACCAGATCTTCATTTTCCAATTTGCCGCAAACCACGTACATCAACGATGGCGTCTCGCACACTCGCATCCAGCAGTCGCCGCCACCTCCACCTCAAATACTCGGACGAATGCGTCAAGGCCCGCACCGAAAAGGTCCTCAAGAGCATGCTCTCGCAGCTCAAT